AATGACATGAGGGGGCTGGGGATTTAGCTCAGCGGCATAAGCGCCTGCCTTGCAAGCAGCCAGTCGTGAGTTCGATCCCTGGTACCGATAAAAACGAAAAAGACCAAAAAAAAAAAAAAAAAAAAAAAAAGAATGACATGAGAACAGGTTCAGAAACAGAAAAGCCTAGATTTCTTCTGCAAGAGAATAAACAGACCCCATTATCTGGGGTCAAGTTTTTGTGTTGGGCAATGGTGTGAGATTAACACAGAAAAGATAGGTTGATATAGATGCCGAGGGACTTGAATTCCAAGTGGAAAATGATAGTTTCATGCTGGAGGTCAAGAGGTACTGAGAAGTTAAACTGCAAGGACACAATCCAAGCAGGACTCCCAAAGGGCTGGACTGGGAAGATGAAGGGAGGCTTCGGCTGTGCTGCTGAGTGGGAAGTGATAGAGCCTGAGCCGAGGGAGAAAGGCAGTAAGAGGGATCTGGGAGGAAATACAGACAGGACTTGGTGCAAGTGGAAAGGAAGAGACTTGATTGTCCATGTTGCTTTTCTTCAACAGAACAGGACATTCACTTTGAAATTTCTTGTATCTTAAAGGAAGAGAAAGAATTCATAGTTACTTCTCTATTCTGAAAGTTGTCAACTTCGAAGTATGAAATTAATGACAAGAGATTTGAAAATGCAAATACGGGGTGGTTATCTCCATTTAGAAGATTTCTTACTAGACCCTAGTTCATCTGTTCAAGGAGAAGTGGTAACTTTAGGGGGAGCTATCAATTTTGGCAGTTTTTACTCAAATCAAGACCAACAGGAAGCATTACCTTGTTCTCACATACATACTACACACACATTCTAAAGCCAGATAATTCAATTGTTTTCACGTCTCACCCATTACTTTTCTGATATTAACCTTACAGAATGAAAATATTGTCAAATTTTCAGTAAAAACCAGCAAAGTAAAATATCATGGAGGGATACAAAAGTGGCAAGGGCCTTTAGTGACCACTCAGTCTATTTTGTGTTACAGGAAAAACTGAAGGAAATTATTAGAAAACATATCTGGTACCAAAATTCAGATCTCCTCCCCATCTAGTAATATTTTTTCTCTCTCTCTTCTTTCTTTTTTCTTTCTTCTCTCCTTTTCTTTTGTTTCTTTTTTATCTTTCTCTCTTTTCTTTTTTTTTTCTTTTTCTCCCTTTTCTTTTTTTCTGTTTCTTTGTTTTTCTTTCTTTCTTCCTTTCTCACCCCCACCCCACATGCTCCTTCACTTCAGCCTCAGTGATGCCGGCCTTTGGGAAACACTTAGACATCAACAATGTAATTTAGTCTCCCCCATACCTTTTTCTTCTATTTGTGTCTCTGAGAAGGAAATACAACAGGGGATGCAAAAGGTAAGTTGGAAATCCCACTCTTAGGCAGTGCAGTCAGCTGGCCAGGAATGAAGAGAGGCTGAGATTGAGGATGAGACTGAGATTGCTTAGACAGGAGTACAACAGAGCACCAGCCTACCCTGGGTCCCAATGTTAACTGTTTTGTGCATTTGAAGAAAAACAGTGACTCTGGCTCCAACATGTGGCAAACTGATCATCACCATCATCTCATCGGCAATGACTGTACAGTGGATACAAAGCAGTAACTTCCAGAAATGGGCTGAGATGGATTTACCGTGAACCCAGTCAAACTTAATCTTCACTAACTTGGGCCCTTCCAAGTCCAAGGAGATCCTTTAGCGATCCCTTAGCGATTCTGTATTCATAATTTTGTTTCATTTTTCTTAAAGAGGTCCTCCTAAACCATATAGACTTAGGTTCTACCACTTCCTAAGACTAGCACGTGCTACTCTTAGGACTTCACAGTGTCTTCTGGAAATGCCTTAAAAGTATCAGAGGCCTGCTTTACTAGCTGTCACAAGTCCACATGAGCACTCTTTGGCCCGTCTTTTCAAATTATATCAATAAGATTATTAGAAGCAGAAGAGACAGGGCTTGGAGTGTATGTATAGCACTTACCTAGCACGCTTCTGAGGCCTGGGTTCAATCCCCAGCATCCCCGCCACCACCACCACAACAACAAAAAGTACAAGAGATAGTGTTGAAACTTTCACAAGTAAAGGATACATAATATTTAGATTTCTTGAAGCAAGATCTTCAATGTTTTGCAGGGCTGAAGATGGAACCCAGAGCTTTGCAAGCAAGGTAGGCAAGTGCCTCACCATTCAACCACACCCACTCACCCCACCCTGGTCCAGGTTCTGTGATTTCCTTCCTCTCAGTTACTAAATTTAGTTAAATGGCTTTTATTGAGATTATATTTCTAAATAACAAGCAATTACAAAGGAGATGCTGAACAGAGCTGTTCTGCATACTCATTGCCTTGCCATTCCTTAGAAGCATGATAGATGGAAAAGGTAAAAACCATGAAAATCTTGATTTCAGTTTATATGGACATTTATCATTATTTGTGAGATATGTCCACCATGGTTTTACTTTAAAACCACAAATAAAGTTTTAACAATGGGCATTTTTCTTGTTGAGAAGCCTGTGGTCAGACAAAGCATCTCTCTGAACTGATTAGATCTTGAGGTTTTCAAATTCAATATTCAGCAAATATAGAGCATTTCTTTGAATAATTAAGAACGTCAGAGCTAGGGCAACTCACCTGAGCTTGTTCCTTTTTTTTTTTACAGGATAATCAGACATAACCTATTCTGGTGGTAGGCTTCACTATATTTGAGTTTAAGGTAGAATAAATACATGTAAACTTTTGAAAATCTAGATGATACTACTTTTTTTTAACATCAGCAAGACCTTCATTTGCTAGTATTCCAGTTGTGGTATTTTATGCTTTTAAAAGCTTTCTTTCTTCCTCACTCCCAATTATTCTGAATCCAGAAGACAGATATTCATTATGTGAAGACAAAGGAACATTGAATAGTTAATTATACAACAGCCAGAACTGTCCACTCTCTATTCATTCTTGTAACAGATCAGTGGAAGCATATTTAGCATATTTAGTTTGAAATCTTGTAAAATAGAAATGGGATTGTTACAGCAGTTTAACAATACAGCATAGTAACCTCATACTCTATGGTGATCTGATACAAGGTAACATAAGGGTCTCAATGATCCACATGAAAAGATGAATTTGATAATATCTAAAGTGGTCTACTTTTCCTGTAAAAACAGAGTATCACTGTAATCCTAAAGACTATGATTGCTTTCTTAGAACCAAACTCCCCTCTAATAATATGCCTAAGATAAAATATGTAAAAGTCATTGAATTGTTTCAGTAGAAGGGCTTTCCAGAGGTCACCTAATTCTCCCCAATCTCCAGCCAGGCCTCTTCCTAACACTGAATATAGCTGTACAGGGATCTGCATTAAGAAAGCTTTTAAAGATCCCTGGGGCTGGTCAAAAAATAGCTAATATTGGCCTGATTCATAGAACAGCATAATACATATGTCAAAATAGCCACCTTCATCAAGAAAGACATCCATCAGGGCTGTTAAGTGCTAGCACTAGCTTCAAAAGGAAAAGTGTCTATTTTCTCAGGGAAAAGGTGGTAGATTTCGGAGATTTGTGCGTATTGCTATTTGTTGTTGTTGTTCAGGTGTACATTTGAATGCTTATCAAAAAGAAAATAATATCTTGTCGAAGACCACTGCAAGGAACCATGAAGGTGGCTGGAAAGGAGCAGATCACAAATCTTTTTGACTTGCTGCAGAGCTGGGGATGGCAAGGGGTGGGGTGTGTGATATTTAACAAAAGTCCAATTAGCATCAGGTTATTGAAGGACAGATGATGAAATGTAAGAATAATATTGACAGACCCACTATTTAAGGGATCTCTTTTCTCTCTGATTACCTGAGGTTTTTTTGTGGGGTGGGGAGAGCATACCGGGAATCAAATTCAGGACCTGAAGCTTGCCAGGCAGGCACTGTGCTGTTGAGCTAAATCCCCAGCCCCTGATCAGCTAAGTTAGAGATAATTTTTTCAACTCCATTAAACTGTAGGTGCAGAGGACAAGAACTTAAATGTAACTTGAAACTTCCAAGATAATCACATTGCTGTTCTATAGGAAAAGTAATCCACTGCTGTTTAGTCTTTAAATTACAGATTTGAAGTACTATACTGAAATCTAGGAGTCTAGCTTACAGTTGAGGTTCTTATCTTAATTGTAACTTTAAGCCTTCCTGTTGAACTATACAGAATTTAAAATGCAGCAAGAATATGAGGGAAATGACCTAACCTGATAATTGCCTCTATTACCCACTTGGTCTCCCCCCCCCCCGCCCCCCATTTCCCTGCGATTAGCTAGAAGCCTCATCATCTACGGGGAACTGAGGAGAAATAAACTTAGAGAAGGTTTTGTGAGATTTTTAAAAATAGTATACTTCTTGCCGATTTAAATCATGTTTGTACCTCTTCCAAAAAATTCATTTGAAAACATTTCATTTTAAAAACAGGCATCCTCTGTGCTCTCAAGCCAGATACTTAATCTGGGTCACAGGAAGTGGAAAACCCCTGTTTCTGCCCTCTCCCAGCCTCCCTTGTAATTCTTGACTTTGGAAATAAGAATTCAGCCTGGGAACTTTTTCATGTGCAGTGGCCTTCTTCAGAGAACACTAACCAAGAAACAGTCTTCAGGTTGCCTTTCCTCTCCCTTTTGTGAGGACAACAGACAAAAGAACAAGTAGCTCTCCTTGGCTTTACGACCTTCCCACATGGGTCTCTAACCTTTCAGTTAATATGTAGCCTCCACACCTCATAAAATTAGGGCCTTTAAGGTAAGTATTCCCTTTGTTACGTGGATATTTGACAAAGTTTTCTCCTTTAAGCTGCTCATATAATTGTTCCTAACTTGCTACGTATGTGTGTATAAACTATAAAAAGTGTTGTCTTAAAAAGTTATCAATGTAAACAAATTTCCATAGCAGAGTCAAGAAATTCTAAATAGAGGAAATGCTGAGTCAACTTTAAAGAAAGAATAAAGATGAAAAGTGTAGGAAATGTAGAGTAGTAGATTCTGTCATTTTATTACAAAACAGCTCACAACCCTTTACATGCTGACATTAAATGTCATATATCAGTTCATTGCAAGCAAACATTTTTTAAAAAATATACATATTGTGTATATTTACATTCAAGTTTGTAACTGATGTCAAGGTGTTGTTCAGGTTCTAATCTTTACCCACCCTGTGAATTTATTCAGCTACTAACTAAATAGTGATTGTATCTTCACTCAGGCACATGGAGAGGTAGAAACTGCTTTTTAAAGAAAACAAAACAGAAATGGAGTGCAAGTGTGTAAACAGATCATCATTGAAGCAGCTTGACTACTTCAAGGAGACCCTAACTAACTTTGGTCATCTCAAGAGGTTGAATACATGTAGACTGTCCTTTAAATTAAAACCAGAAAATTTGGGCAATGGCTATTTTGTGCACATCAGAAGGTTGACAGAACTCAACTAAATGATCTGCCACTCTGCACCCAAGAATTGCATATGACTTAGTTAGGCAACACGTGTCAGAGCTGGGCTGGCAGGTGGGGGGCATATTTTCCCTGGTAAGACAAATAAAATGCAAACAAATCATTTAAAAGATATCAAATTAGTATCTGCATGTACACACACGGTCTGGAACTCAGAAGTCCACCAAGATACTGTAGTCCCTTTCCAAGTGAAATGCCTATTAATTTCTGCTCATGCCCACCTCCATGCCAAGCCAAGCTCCTAATCTATAGAGGGGTAGGGATGACTTCTGCTGACCAAGGATCTTCAGCCTCAAGACTGAACCTCAGGAAGGCTCTTGGCCCTGAGAAGGGCTGCCTGGGTTCCTGCCACACTTGGTGGGGCTCGTTCCTGAGAGGGGAAGTTGGAGGGAGGCCACTGAGGTGGCTGCAGCCAGCAGTCCTTCTCGTTCCCTTTTCTTCTGCTTCATCCTGCGGTTCTGGAACCAGATTTTGACTTGGGTATCATTCAGCTGCAAGCAGTTGGCTATCTCGATGCGTCGGGCGCGAGTTAAATACTTATTGAAATGAAACTCTTTCTCCAGTTCTGTCAATTGCTTGGTGCTGAAATTCGTACGAATCGCGGTGGAAGGGTTAGCGGCTCCATACTCTGTGAGTTTGCCTGCAACGTAAAGACAGAGCATCAGGGGCCAGGGGACTTGCAGCCAGCCACGGTGTGAAGGAAGCCTTAGAACTAAAATCAGAGCGGGTCTCTATGAACAGTCTTGCCAGGAACACTCTCCATCGAGAGCTCCTTCCTCTAAGGTGCGCGGAGCCTAGCTCATTTTCCAAGCCTGGACTCAGGCACACTTAATGGACAAGGCTTGTTTTTTAACAAGGCACCCTAAGGTGTTGCCTCCACTAAACCTACACCGCTGCCCAGAGGGACAGTGACAATGCACCCCCAGTGCGTTTCCCTGGCGGAGGTGCCTGCACCCAGCGCCCACGTACTTACTTTTCTTAGGGGCGTTCCTCTTTACTTTCATCCACTCAAATGTGCTGAAGGCTGCGGCGGGGAGGCCGGACGTGGGAGAGACGGACTTGGGGTAGGCACCGGGGGCCGGGGACGCGGTCTGGAAGGCCCCGGGGTGGCCGTCCGCGGGCTCTTTGAGACACGCCGGGAAGGGGCCCGACTCGCCAAAGGCCGCGTAATCCACCTGGCCGCTGAGCAGGAAGGAGCCGCCTCCCGAGAAGACGGCCGAGGTGGCGTAGTGGACGTGCGCCCCGCTGTCGTCGGCCGGACGCCCGAGAGCGCCCGCGAAGTCGTACGCGGCCCCGGAGCCCAGGAAGCCGTAGTCCGCGCCCCCGGCAGGTGCGGCGCCCGCGCCGGGCTCGTATGCGCCCTCGAGCACGCCCGGGCTGTAGCGGGGCGCGGCCCGGGGAGGCGCGGGCGGCTGCGCCGAGGGGGCCGGGGGCGAGGGCGAGGGCGCGGCCAGGGGCAGGCAGCTGACGAAGGCGCCGTCGCCGCTGCCCAGGGGGAAGGCGGCCTGCAGGGCCACGGGCCGGGCGTCGGAGCGGCAGAACTTGGGGGAGAAGCCGAGCACGTCGCCCACCCCGCCGCCGCCGCCGCCGCCGCCGCCGCCGCCCGCCACGTATTCCAGGTAGGAGCTCATGTTCCGGCCCCGGCCCGAGGGCACAGCCCAGGCCGGAGTTCGGGACCCGGTGGGGCAGCACGCGACCGCCGCCGTCTACCCGAGCTGCCCTCGCCGAGCCATGGCAGCGCGCAGGGGTAAATAGTGGCCTAATATACCGGCGGGGGCGGCCACGTGGCGCCCGGCGGCCAATGGGCGGCGGCTCCGCGCGGCGCGGGTCCCGCCGGCGCGAGCTCCTCGTCCCTGCCCGCAGCCAACTTGCCCGAGCAGCCGCCCCGGGAGGGAAGGCCAGGCACCGACGCCCGGAACCCGACAGGTATTGGACGCGGTGAGGCGGGAGCCGGGGGCGCGGGGTGGGGCGCGCGCGGGCGTGTTTGCCTCGTGGGTGGCTGCGGTGTCGGGTGTGGCCTGCACAAGTCTGGATGAGTGTGTCACCCAGCCCTTCTCCGACTAAAGTTACCCATCACCACTTTTTCCTCTGCGCGTTTGGTTTTGTTGGACCTTGTACCATCCTGCTTCTAAACCTGGAGCAGGCGTTCGGGTTTTTCCCTTTCCGGCCTCCCCTTCGGTTCCCCGGACTGTGCTTTCCGCCCTTAGTGCTGTGCACCTAGAACTTGCAGCGACTGCAGGGTACTACCTTCGGTTTCCTGCAGCCCTTCAGATGTGTGGTCGCAGGGTGAGGAAAGTGTAGTGCGGGGTTGATTTGTACAGAAAATACATTTCTGCCTTGAAGGGAAACTTAACAGACCCCCCGCCCCCCAACAGGTCCTCTGGACAAAGGGTCCCACCGTGCGGCACGCCCCTGGGATGCCTCTTTGGGTGGGCGGTCCACTGACTCCTGTGCGTTTCAATGAGACTTTTGGCCCAGGGGCACAGAGGCTTCCCAGGGAGCGGTCAGATCTCAGAGGTTTGGACCGGCTCATACCTTGAAGCAATTAAGCTTCTGTTCCATGAGATAAGTGCTGCGTCGTCCCTAGCGAGTGAAATCTGGGCTCACGATATTAATGGGCTCACGTCTTTCCCTTGATAATATGGTTTCGTTTATTGAGTGTAGAGAGACGGGAAATAAAAGTGCAATTGGCACAGGAAGCCAAAGAGTAGAAAGATTACAAAGGCAAGCTTTACATTGACAAACTTTCCAACTTCCTAGAGCATTTCTTTTAATGCTTTCCTCCGTGGGGCTGAAGGAAATTAACTTAAATAAATAGGGGTTATTTGCACGCAGTAGTAATGAAAAAGGTTGGTTTCTTAAAACCTTGGTTGAATAAAGACTCTAGAGTCTGTTCTTAGCTTTCCAGTGCCCATGAAACTTCATCTATTACAGCTTCTAAGTTATGGTGCCTCAGGTTTTATTATTGTTTTACTGATCCACTTGTCATGAAAAAGCGATTGAGCCCTTGCCTAAAATTCCACCCTGTAGCAATCTGGAGAAGAGGAGCCATCACAATCCAGGAAGCCAGCTTCTTAGAGGGTTGTGGAGTGTGAATAGACCTGAAGTGTGGCCCGCTGGGTGAGGCTGAAGGCTCCAGGTTAAGGAGAGGGTGTGGGTGGTCACTCTGAAGGAAGGAGTCCAAGGCTCAAGGGTACTGCACAGCTATAGTTCTTGAATTTGACTGGAAGGTGGAATCCTGAGCTGGAAATAGCTCTTTAGCCTTGAGCTGTCCACACTGTTTCCCTGAAGCAGATTTTTGGACATTCAACTTTTGCTCGGAGCAGAACATGTACTAAAAGAATGAGCTTTTTGGTTGTTTTGTTTTCACAACTGTGCTGTGAGTGGAGATCAGGAGTAGGTTTTGGAATAGAGCTCAGTATTTGTCCAGACCCAGCTAGGTCCACTGATAATCAGTTCCACACAGGCAGCTACATTCTGTTCATTCATTCCCTTCAGTCTCCCAGTCCCTGACAGAGTCTACACTTCTAGCATCAGGATTTCTGTCTCCATTCCTGGGCTGAGTTCTTGACTTACTGAAGTTGGAAGCCAAGACACTGATCATCTCATACCCAGAGACAACAGATGTTTTCCAATTATCTACTGTGCAGGACATTTTGTTAAGAGGAAAGTTAGGCCAGGGGAAATAATACTTTCAAACCAAAGAGATAAGAGATTCATTTGTTACTCAGGTCTTGGCAGTGCTATAAATTTAAATTTACTCTAGAGGAATCTTATTTTGTTCTGAGCTCTACAGTTCTCTGAGAAAATGTTATTGAGGTAAATGCATAAGGATAGGACCGTTTTGAGTAGCATTAAAGTTTGTGTCACATTCTTAGAGTATGATAAAAATGTCTTTGTTGGGTCTTCAAACTATGAATTCCTGAGGGTCGCTTGCCCTGCAGGGGTCTTGGTGCTGTGAGTTCTCCATGGGAGGTGACAGCAGAGGAACCTAATTACCAGGTTGTGTTTGATGTAGGAATGCTTTGAAATCTCTGCTAGCCTACTCACCATAGCAGCCACCCCTTACTCATTCCCAGTTGAGCCCCCAGTACTTTTGTCTCCCTTTTTAGCAACTTTTCTGAAGACAAGTGTTCCCAGGAAGTTGTTACCAGGAAGTCCCTGGCAACCCACAAGTCTAGCCCAGTTATCCCCTGGAGACACTTAGTTCATTTAAACTTAGCTCCATAACCTCAAAGTATAGGTCTTTAAAGAGAGGAGTCTTTTATAACAGATTAAGAGGAAATGAGACTAATAGACAGTACTCTGTAGCATCCTTCTGTTACTCTAGGATGGAGGTGGGAATAAAGTCCTAAGGAGAGGAGTCCTAACCCTCTTAGAGGCCTGATTACATGATCTTCCTTGAGGAAAACAATTTAGGATATTGTACCTTTCTCTGAGAGTCTGTAGTACTTTTTTGTTTCTGTTTTGTCTTCTAGTATCAGGGATTGAACTCATAACCTAGCACTTGCCAGGCAGGCGCTTGTGCCACTGAGCTATTTCCCTGGCCTTGTAGGACTTAATAAACACTAAGTATTCAGTAAATGTTTGTTGGACAGAAATAATAAACAGTGTTGGGTTTTATCCTAATACTGACTAAAGGTTATCTTGGATAACTGACTCCTAAAACCACTTGATAAGGATAGGAATCACCATAAAAGCTTAGTTATAAGTATAGGGCCTTTGGCCCATTCCCAGAACTCTTAATCTAATAGATCCAACTTAGAACTCTTCCACAAACCTCTTGAGAAATCTTACCACAAGGTTCTCCAGAACCACACTTTAGAAGTTCTGCTGCCCAGGTGGGATGGGAGAATAATGTGGAGCAAAAGGAGATGTTTTTGTGGGAGGGACCATGAACAATGAAATACCTGAAACATCCAGAACCTGGTTGAGTGGCAGGGCATATAGGTCAAATGTCAAGGTCAAACTTTAGTTCAGAGAGCTAATGTTCCAGGAAATATCCTCAAGAAGTGATGAGTGAGATTTTTTTTTTTTTTTTTTTTTTTTTTTTTTTTTTTTGGTCTTTTTCGGTACCAGGGATCGAACTCAGGACTGCCTGCTTGCAAGGCAGGCGCTTATGCCGCTGAGCTAAATCCCCAGCCCCGATGAGTGAGAATTTCTCAGATTTTGCTGGCCCAGTAGTGCTTTGCAGACTCGGTTCACTTGTGCTTCTTGCCACTTCCCTTAACTTGGTTTTCATGATGCCATTGGGGTAGGAAGTAAAGGCGTGTCTTTTCCAGTCTCTTCTGAGATAATTTAGAATAGTTCTGAGATGATGAAAGAGGGAAAGGAGTGAGAATGGAAATTTGCAACTCCGATTTCCTTTTTCTCAAATTATCTGAAAGGTGCTTTGGAGGCCCAGGGATGCTAGATGGGTAAAATATCCTGTTTTACCTATTAGCCTAATGTATGACTCTTCCTTTAGCTGAAAGCTGACCTTTCTGTTTTTTTTTTTTTTTTTTTTTTTTTTTTTTTTTTTTTTTTTTTTTCTTTTTCTATCGGTACCGGGGATCGAACTCACGACTGCCTGCTTGCAAGGCAGGCGCTTATGCCGCTGAGCTAAATCCCCAGCCCCTGAGCTGACCTTTCACAGACTGTGACAAAACTAGAAGGTACCTTAGAGATAAGCTACATTAAAGTCTTAATTTTAGAGAGGAAGTTGCTTTATTCAGAAGTTAAAAGGCAATGCCACTCTACAAGAAATAAGGGAGTTGTGATTCCACAGTCCATTGACTTCCCCCAATCTTCAAAGTGGAACAAGCAAGGCCGCCATTCCTCCCCTGTGTGGCAGGCCTCAGAGCTGAGGAAGCAGAGACCTCTCTTGTTAGTCCCTGACTGAGAAGCCTAATGCCCTCCCTTTGGAATTTGTTTGTCAACCCCCTTTTTGCACTCTCATTTTGAGGCTCCTACAAGAGAGAGCAGAGGTAGACCTGGTCTCCATCATGCACCACCAAGCAAAGGTGAAAAGGTCCCCTCATTCCTACTGAGGTTGACCAAGAAGGCCAAAGCAAGGGGTGTCCCTAGATTGAGTTCACTGGCTAGTGCAAATGCCCAAAAGGAACATATTTGAACATACTCAGGCATACCCAGGTTGACTGTACTTGTTCTGGCCAATAATGTCCCTTCATTTTCAAAATAGGTAATAAATGTGTACTTACATGGTTCAAGATTCACGGGGGTCAGCCATCTAGTTTCCCTTCTCATAGGCAACTCATTTTATTTCATGAATTTTTTCCAAAGATACTGTAACAATTCATGTCTCCCCCATGTTTTTTTACAAAAACATTAGTATGTTAGATATATGTTACTGAGCCATGATTTCCCCCCATCATTCCTTGAAGAATATCTCATATAAATACAGCTCATTTTAACAACTTCATACTATTCTGCTTCATACACCTGCCACAATTTATATAGCAAGTCCCTACTGGTAAGCATTTAGCCTGTTTACAACTTTTGCTGTTACAACACATGTCCAAACTTTTATCTATTAGGAAAACTAGAAGCCAAATTAGTCAAAGGGTATGTGCACTGGCAACTTTAATATGCTTAGCCAAACTGTTCTCCATAAACAGTGGCTTATTTTACATTTACCAGTAATTTGAGTTTTTGTTTATGTTCTTGCCAAAACAGTGAGCTATTAAAGTTTTTTATAGCTCTGATAATCTGACAAGTGGAAAATAAAGCGTTTTATTTACTTTATCTTGTTTGATCCTTTAATAACATAACCAATGATAATATTGATGCAGAAAAGACAACTTATTGTCATATCCAATGTAAATGGCCAAGGTCAGATATCCAATACCCTTTCCTATGCCATGCTGTTCCATATGGAGCTTAAGGAGTTTCAAAAGAGAAGTGGCATTGAGCATTCCCTGAAAGACACATGATATATTTAATTAAAAAAAAAACACACACACACAAAAGTTTTTTGACATCTGCTAAGAGGCCTCCTCTTTAGTGGTCAAATACCAAGACCACAGTTCTATGTGAATCCTCTGAAGAATATCCCTCTGGAAAGGGGAGAGCTCTGATTAGCAATCTGATCTAACTTAGTCCTACACATTAGTTTGGATTCAGTATCTAGGAAGCAATAGGATGTTGTTTTTCATTTCCTTGAGCCATCCTTTTCATTGGCCACCCAGGATCTAAGTATTGATCAGCATGAGGGAAGCAAGAGTATGTGTTTTCCCTAGACTTCAGCTTATATAGAACATTCATGGGGATCTGGGGAAGATAACACACAACACATGCACATGCACCTCTAATGATAAACTTGTGAGGTAGATATCTTTATTGACTTTTCCACTGATGAAACTAAAGTCCAGAAAGATTAAGTGGGTTGCACAAATAGCAAAGAAGAAAATAATGTAGACCCGAAAATGAACTCATTAGATTCTTCCCTCTCTTCTGTTCATTTTGGTAAAGGCCCTGGTTTCTATTTAAGCCCTTAAAGCAGAATCCTAGGAATTAGTATCTGGCCCTTCTTTCACTCACCCAGCTTGTCACTGAATCCTGTGAGCTCTACCTCCTAAAGATCTTTTTAGTCCTGTTTTCAGTTCCTTTCTATGCTGGATCATTTCAGCATGCTCCTTTTTGCTCTTCTTGTCTCCTACTTTTCCTTCTTCCAGTCAGATGCAGCACCCCCAAAAGTCAGCTTCCACAATAAGTAACCTTACATCCCACCTTAACCCTTCAGTGGCTGCCCATTACCTACAGAGTGTGTCTGGACTCCTTTACGTGAACACAGTACAACCTCTTTCTAGCCAGGATGCCCCAATCTAAACTACCCTCCTCATTCCAAGTCTACACCTTGCTGTTTCTTCCCTTTTATTTTTGGATCCCTCCTTGATCTGAAGAAACTTTTTCATCAGGAACCTTCTCTGAACAGCCTTTTGTGACACTGTAATAATACTAGCGGCTTCTTTTCTTCATTCCAATCACATTATAGTCACATCCAGTGTAAATGGCCAAGGTCAGATGTCCAGTACTCTTTCCTAAGCTATGCTAGCAGTTCCACATTGAGCTTAAGGAGATTCAAAAGAGAAGAGGTATTTAGCATTTCCTGAAAGACACATTATGTATTAAATACACAAACACACACACAAACTCAAGTTTGAGCGAACTTCTTTTATGGTACCCATCAATTGTTCTAGGATTATTTCTCTTCACCTAGATTAAAGGGCAGAAATCATTAGTGACTCAACCTTCTATCTCAAAGCCCAGCACGGGACACACAGGAGCTGGTCAGTGGGTATTGGTGAAAGACCAGGAGCAAAGAACAGACTGAATCTAGGACAGCTGGCCTGGTGTTTTCATTGCTTCCTGGGTGTCAGATCTGTGTGAAGCATAATGCTTCAGTCTGTCTGAAGCAGAAATAATAGTACAGTATTGCTCCAAAAGAAGTCAGTGTCCACCTAAGATGATGAGGACAGATAAGGATGAGGGTTTGGGGGACAAAGCTGAGGCTTTCCATCCTTTAAAGGCTCATTCCATAAGACTGAGCAGCACATACCAACTAACTTTAGAAACGTTTCAGCTCATGGCACCCAACAGAAAGGTATCAGGAGGACCAGGCCAGAACGTTGGTAGGATTTATGAGGAAGACAAGTGGACACTCAAGAAGAGTTGTAAAAATGCTTCCCGGCCCACTACCACCCAGCAGTCCTGCTGCAGACTGCTCTAAGGCTGATGACTGCCCCTACAAGTTTGCAGTTTAGCTCTATGTTGTTTCTAAAATTGACCCAAAAGAGCTGAGGTAAAAGTCCTTAAGAGTTTTGCTCCTCAGGGCTGGGGATTTAGCTCAGTGGCATAAGCACCTGCCTTGCAAGCAGGCAGTCGTGAGTTCAATCCCCGGTACCGATAAAAACGAAAAAGACAAAAAAAAAAAAGTTTTGCTCCTCCACTGCAAGAAAAGAGGCATATCCTCCTGGCTGGTGTTTTCAATATATTTTTATTGGGACTTTAAATGACATTCAAGTTTATTTCAAGTTCAACAGCGGTCTTACCCTCCTCCTTCCTCCCACACAAATACTCCCACAGGCAAATAGAGACTTAAGAGTTTTCAAAACCTCCTGGCCCCTTGGGCTGTTTCTCCTTCTGCTTTCAGAGATGGATGTGGCCCTTTCTGGGAACAGGGCAGCAAGTCACTGGGGCCAGTGTGGCGAGGGGCGGGGAATGCGGGGTCACTATGGGGCAGGGGCTGGCTGGCGTGGGTGCCCAGAGAAGTTCGAAGGCGGGGCTGGCGGGCAGTGGGCCTGTCCCCAAGGAAGGAGGAAGCTACCAGCCCTCCGTCGGGCCCAGGCAGTGCGGGGGGGCGGGGGGGCACGGGTCGCGCCCTTTGCGAGCCCCCAGCCCGAGCCCCGCGTCTCCTCTGCGGGCGGTTTCTGGCCGGCTCCCAGCTGGCCCAGACTTGCTCTGAAGTAGGAGGAACCGCTGTCGGCGGGAAGTGCACACCGGTGATTGATGGACTCTTAATAGGACCGACCTCTCCCGCCCCCACCCGAGACGCGCGCACAGAAGTCCTCCGTCCCGACCCGGTCCTGGGCGAGCAGGCAGTGAGCTCACCTTGGTGTTTGCGCGGGGAGCCCAGGTGGGCCCGGAGCCCGCAGCCGCCGGCCAGCGCGCGTCACGTGGAGCGCGGCCCCGCGGGCTTTGTGCGGCGCGGGCTCGCACAGCCGGGCGGCCAGCGGCTATTGTTCCCGCGGGCTGGGCGCCCCGCCTGGGGTCCTCCCCGGCCGCCGCCTCACCACCGCCAGCCGGACAGGTCAGGGCTTTGTGTGTTCCCTGCCGCGCAGGCCCGGGATAGCGTCGTCGCTGTCCCAAGGGGTAGCAGACTGCAGCGAGGGACTCGGTGCAGCTCACTCGACCCACTTTCCCACTGGGCCCGTCAGAGGAGGTAGGGAGGCGCCTGGGGATTGTAGGGCAGCGCTGTGAACAATAGAGCTATCATCAAAAGACTGTCTCCAGGCTTAAGCTTCGGATGCTCTTCTCTCCTAAAGAAAGGTCCTTAGCAAGCTGCCTTCCCAACCTGATTTTAAATCCTGCTTTTCAGGTTAAAACTCTCCCTCCACACCAGAGCTCTCTATGAACCTGGATTTAAATTAGGATCTCCTCCTCCTCTATCTTGTATGAATGTTAAAATCCTGCTTTGCGATTTTCTAGACCATATACTTAAAAAGAATGCTCAAGACTACCTATAGGATTCAGTCAAGATATTTTGCCATGCACCAGAGGTAGTGGCTCAGGCCTCTCAGCCTAACACTATAAAGAGGATTGCTAGTTTGAGGCCAGCCCAAACTAAGCTACATAGCTAGTTCGAGACCAGTCTGAACTACATAGCAAGACTTTGCTCCACTCCATCCCCCTAAAAGTATTTTGCCATATGCTTGGTATGTAGCTTGTTGTGTATCTTAGCATGAACTAAGTTCTGGGTTCAGTCTCGCCCCCACCCCCAGTACTCATTTTTGTCACAAGATCTAGGATAAGATGCATGCAGTTAGCTCTTGTCTTCTACATCTCCTGGACACCTTTCATCTTAGCTATTGCAAATGACTATTCATCCACCTTGGCTCTTCCATCATGCAAGGCAATTATTCGCTCACTTGGCTTCATACTGGACTGACCTAAAGAGTTTTTGTGTTTTCCAAGTCAAGGTGGGAGCGAACCTGAGGGAAATATTTAAGAATGGATTTCAAGCCAAGTATATACAATACATTTGTTTGACACCAACATCGGACCCCAAATATAAAGACATTTGTAGCTGTAGTAGAAAACAAGTGAACAATGAGAACAAAGTTTTCACTCCCTGTAATAATCTTCTGTTTTCCATCCTCTCTGCCACCACTGATGCAGTAATTGCTGAGAATTTTTCCTTTTTTCTCTCCACCTGGGTCTTTTGCAAGAGAGATGTACAAGAGCCAGTCCTCACAGGTGTAAGGGCTTGGCTGAGGACAACCCAGTCTCAACTTCCCAAGTGTCCCAGAGTGTCCAAGAATAGGCCTGCTTACCAAGGCCCTAAATATACTCTCTGGGAACTCAAAATGCCCAAGAAGGATGAGGCTATAAGCTTGTGGGGTTTGGAGCCTTCTGCCTCTCCTCTGCCAACTCACCAAGTTCTGTTCTATTTTTTTCTTTCAGTGTCTGCAAGAATCAAAGTAATGCCAAGGACTTGCAGATGAAGAGGACAGTCTCAGACCTATAATTGGCATTAGCCACTTCTTGAACCACAGGAGGAAGTTTCAACTCATTCTCAGGATAAAAATCAAAATAAGCCTGTGACTGTCTCTGGAATACTGAAGGTGTAAACAGGCCTCTGGCTTCCCCAGGTCAAGAGTCTTGCAGCTCTGGTTATCAGAAGGAAGAGTTACTTCTTTGTTATTCAAACACACCCACACACATCCTCTTCCCCCTCCCTAATGAAAAACCTCAACAGATGGAGAGCCTGGGCTCCTGGGCCTGCTGGCTGAGAAGATGCCTTTAACTGGGGCCAGCTAGCTGGTGCAGACTGGGGAAAAAGGGAGAAGTGGCTAGTATAATCACTGGCTTTTAATAGTTTTTACAGATAAAAATTACACAAATCTTGTTCAGCAAGGTGAGTAGCCTGTGGGGCCTGGGAAACCAATTTGGCTGATGTGTCTGTATGGACTAGGCTTGAGGTTGCACCAAGGGGAACGTCTTGCTCTGAATTACGTTACCCTCTCATGTGAAAGCCTGTACACAGAAATGGTACAAATGGATAGTTAACTTAATGATGCCATCGTAGGTAGAAAGTTCTGTCAGGTCCTGGGATGAAGCTAAAGTCTGAAAACCAGAAGGCAGAAGGTACCTCCAGTGGCAGGACTATTCAGGGCCTTTTCCTCAGTAGCTTCTGCAATCCCTGGTGACTTCATCTAGGCCCTCCACTCCAGGCTGGTTGTAAGGAAAACTCTCCTGCTTCACCCTGCCTTAATTCAGATTTGATTGTCTGTACAGAACCACCAGGAATGCCAGGTGGACAGCTAACCCTCACCCACCCACAGGCCTGGGCTTACAGCCCTGACCCTTGTCTTCATATTTCAAGAGACCCCACCCTCGACACCCCCACACGCATCCCTCAACACGGTAGGAATTGGGAAAAAAGAACTGATCAAAGGCATGAGTTTAAGAGTCATTTTCTCCTCTTAGGCAACCAAGTTAGATCTCCCTGAGACCAAAGCCCCAGTGAGCGAGCCAGGCCCAGCCTCTTCCCACCTCCAGGCACCAGCCTGTGCAGCCTGCGATGGCCTCCTGCACGGCCGCCTCCGCAGCAGAACACAATGGCGCGCCTGCTTTGGGCTTCTGGCTGTTGTGGGCACCCTCAACGCAGCGTGGGGCCGCGAGGCCACAAGTAACTTCAAGGCCTTGGTGCGCTCCGCTTTGCCCACAGAGCACACTCCCTGGGGAGAGGCAGGAGGTAGGGTGAGGATCTGCTTCTCCTGCGGACTTGTCCCTGCAGGCACCGCTGCGGGTCCTCCCCAAGAAGAGAGCCAGGGCCCCGGGCGCCATCGGCGGTTGACTCCCCTCCCCCACTCGTCTGTCTCTGTTTCGCCTAGACCCGGCGGGGAGGAGGCAGGCGCCTCTGCAGATAGAGCCTCTATTGTGACCTTCCCTAGCAGAGCGGGAACCCAGCGGAGTGTGTACCGCCGGCGGTGGCGGGGGAGGAGGCGACTGTGTGCAAACCTCGGCGGCGGAGGGGGTGGCACTGGGCATAAAGGTTTGCAACCTCGGGCCCTTGGGTCCTTCAGAGGGCGCTAGGTTGTGTTTAGACTCGGGTGCTTCCTAACACTAATTGCAGGCTCAAGAAGAACGGAACTCACGGTGAAGGCCAAGGCGGCTTGTGTATAATTTATGAAGTTTTAAATGGTGGTGCCGCGGGCCCAGCTCTCAGTCGGGGGCGGGTGGCCGCGTGGGAGCGCGCCCTCCAGGACTCGCTGCCGCCCCCACCCGCGCCAGGAGCGGCCGAGTGTGCCCATCACATGACTCACCAGTGACAACAACGGATTGGAGCCACTCTCAGAAGTCTGGGGAACCACCAGAGGTGGGGAAAAGCCGAAGATTCGGCCCCAGCTCCCCCCTCCCCAACATACTTTGGAAAGGAGGGCCGTGGGGAGCTGCGGCTGCCCGGAGAGGGAGCCCCATGCCAGCACTTCCTTGGAGCCTGAGTGTGAGAGGAAGCTGATGTCAGCCTGGCCAGACACCATTTAAAGTCTAATCCATGAAACCCTAAGCCACAGATGACACTTGGGGCTTTGCAGACACCCGCAGACTCAGCAGATACTACTGTGGTAACACATCGCGCTGGAAAACGCCTGGAGCCATGATGCATTATGTATTTTTATTATTATTTATGGTAGGAAGAGGAGATGAGGGAAAACCGGGCTGAATCTAAACAGCCTGACGATTCATCTATTTAATATTTAGCCAGTTAAGAAAGATGGTTGTAACCCCTGCAAGGCAACGAGATCTTTGATTCCCCTAATAGTTTAAAAAATAATTTCGTACAACTGGAAATTCCTCCCATGGATGCAAGTTTTATATAAAACAATGTTAAGTCTTGAAAGTGGGTAAAATGTCAATTGAAGTCATTTATTCTGTCCATACACTTCTACAACATATATACTTTGAACCTGCTCAGATAAAGTGAAATTTAGCAAAAGAATATCCCTCGCCCCCAATCTAACATGCTATTTTAAAAACAGCACAGAAGTACGAGGAAATTAACTGTATTTTGAGCATCATTAGTTAGTGAAACACATATCCAAATAGAAACAATTGTTGTTCCACCAGAAGTTAAATTATTTCCACACAATGGGAATTTCACCTCTTGTCCCCGGGGATGTAGTGGGAGTTGCATTATTTGTCAAACCAAATAGAGATGCGTGGGACGACTTTGCTGAAATACAAGAGAATTGAAACTTACTGAAGGCGTTTTCCAAGTGTCCCCTCCTATAGAAGTGAGTGTAAGTTGTCTGCTCCTAGCTAGAGTCACACCAATATTTACAAAATGGTTATAAATCTTTGAAGACAAGTTTTTGCCCGTTTTGTACAAAGAAACAAGTAAACAGGGTGTTTACACGTGTTATGCTCCAGTAATGAAACTTTTATTACTTCGCATCATGGAGAACATTTGTTTTCTTTAGAAATGAACTACCCACCACTACAAAGGAAAAATTGGTGCCAGCATTTCCTAGACAGCTTAGGTGCCTGTCCCCAAATGATCATTTCTTTTTCTGCACCTTAGCTTTTCATAGCTCAATTCTTACCATTTGTCTTTTTTTTTTTTTTTTTTGATTGTCAGTTTTCTTTCAAAGTTTTTTTTTATTTAAAAGTGAAAAATGGACTCTGGCCTCCCTAATGTGACAGTCGATTGTGTCTAGAGAGGGTAATAAAAAACGGCAGGCAGGCACTGCTTTGGCAAAGCCCTGTCCCGGACATTTCTAGGTTTGCACTCCCTCCCCTACTTAAATAACTGGAATGTAAGCAAGTATCACCTCCAAAATTAATTTATGTACTAGACTCCAAATAAAATAATGTCTTCCAAAGCGTTGGTCTTTTTCTCAGCCTCCATTGGGATTGTTCAAAAAGATAAAGGCAAGAGTGAGTTGCTTGCAAGTGGGTGTGATTAACACAGATAGACTTCCAACTGAGAAATTTTTATTCTAAATATTTGTTCAAATAGTACCAGACAATTTGAAAGCAATAAACTGTGTCAAGTGGCGAGGGCCGCGGCTGTTGAGAAATGAGTAAGATGTGTCGTGCCATGCCACCGGGCTGCTTGACTCTACAACCATGAAGGACAATTTGTGGTCTTAATCCTTTACATCAACTACGAACACCAGCCACGGTTACAACTGTTCAAAACTACTCTCAACTAGTTCAGACCAAGGGGACTAAAAAAAGGTGAAATGTGATGCCCAAGGCCTGGGAGCGCGTTCCTAAGCTCGGCTGGAGAATTCTACAAATATACACATAAATACATTAAGAGGAGGATAAATAATCAGGGAAACGAAACGAATCACTTCAAATAATAAATACGGATCGTTTAGTCCGATGCAATCCTTTACTGGACGGGAAGGAGCATATAAATTAATATCTCTGAAACTAAACTAGATGTGGGCCAGGCCCAGGACTCCAACTCTAGTCCTTCTGCAGGGCGCACCGCCCATGGGTCTCAGACTTACCTTCGGGACACCATTACCAGATTAGAGTCCCTGGGTCCGCAGTACATGGCACTGTCAGGCTTGCGGGGGAGGATCCTCGCGACTGATTTATGGCAAGCCACCCAAAGGAGGATGCGCTTGCAGGCGAGGCCGCATAGCCTCTGCCTCCGAGGAGATTTGGGAAGCAGCGGCCAGGCCGGAGCCGGGGAGAGGGATCCCCAACTGCCCCGCGGGTCCCGCCCGCCACCCCACCACCAAAGCAAAAGAGGTAATTAGCCGCAAGTTCGGACCGACGGCGACCGCTACAGATGTGTCAGTTTGGGGGCCTCGGGTAGGCGTCCCTGAGACGAGTGGTGGGCCGAAAGATCTGTGTAGGTGGGATGAGGGTCGCAGGGTCCATGGTGGTGGTTGCCAGGAATTTGCGCAGCGCAACTGTAGTCCACGCTGGCTGAAGACGGGTGTGAGAGGTGGCCCAGGTTGAAGACGGGCCCGGAGGCGGGCGCCATGGAGTCGACGAAGTTGCCACCCACGTACACCGGGCTGCCCTGCAAGTTGGCGCTGGCGAAGCCGCCGCCGTTGCTCGCCATGGGATGGGGCTCGAACTCGGGCGCCGCGTAGCGCTTCTGCTGTGGCAGGCAGCTGCTGAGCGGCGCCGTGTAGGCGGCCAGGCCGTACATATTGGGCTGCGATTTGGCGAAAGCTGGCGGCGAGGGTGCGTCGTAGGCCAGGCCGGGCACTGGCGGCAGCTGCCCGGAGTAGGCCACGTGGCCAGCGGCGCCGCCGAGCGGCGGGCTGCGCTCAGGGGACTGGCCAGCCGGCGAGTGCAGGATGCCCTTGGCCTTCTGGTCCTTCTTGTACTTCATGCGCCTGTTCTGGAACCAGATCTTGATCTGGCGTTCGGTGAGATTCAGCAGGTTGGCCATCTCCACGCGGCGCGGCCGGCACAAGTAGCGGTTGAAGTGGAACTCCTTTTCCAGCTCCACCAGCTGCGCGCTCGTGTACGCCGTGCGCACCCGCTTGGACGCCGGGCCCGGCGGGCTCTTGTCCTCGCAGCTCTCTCCTGGGCAGGAAGGGAGAGAGAGGGGGCGCTGAGGGAGGGGTAGAGACTCCCAGAAATGAAGAGGAGAGCTACCCTAGCTCTACTGGCCGCCACCCTTCCCTCACTTGCCATCTTGGCTAGGTGGGAAAGAGGCGCGGCAGAGGTCAGAGTGCAAGGGACAACTCACACTCCCTCCCCCAGGTCTACCATCAGTTGCACCTGAAACCTGCATAGGCCTTCCGAAGTCCTATTCACTCTGCTTTCCCTTCCCCACACCTCAGCCCACCATCTCATCTCAAAAGGCCACGAAGGACTTTAATGGGAGCCAAGGAGCAGCTGATTATGCCTCCCCTCTGTCAAAGAAGGGCCAGACTCCTCTTGGAACAGTCCTCCCGAGTCTGCTACTGAGGGGTCTGAGCATCTTCTCTACCTTGCTTAGGGGCTGGTTCCTAGGGAATGCACCTCCCCAGAAAAACAAAAACAAAAAAAAAAAAAAAAAAATGCGGGTGAGAGATCTTAACACCTCACTCCAGCCCAGCTGCTCCCAAAAAAATACTGCCTAGGCATGTCCAGTGTCCCAAGGCCAGGCTGAAAGCATTTTAAGTAAGGCAGTGCTGGTGCAGCAGAGTCAACACGGGTTTCCACCACCCCTGCCACCTCTCAGCTGCTTGTCCACTCCCTCACTGGGAAGACAAATGGATTTCTCCCTGGAGGGAGGGCCTGAGCCTAGCTGAGAAGGGAGGGGCAGGAGAAGGAGCTTGCAGCCTGGAAGACACTTTCCCCCTAGAAAGAGCAGCCCTAGAGAGCTGCAGGCCAAGCAGAGACCTGATAAGCCACATCCTAAGCCTCAAACTAGCCCTGGGCCTGAAGTCTGCTCATATATCTGAAAATACATTGCAGCAGAGAATACAAGGCCAAAAAAAATGTTAGAACCAAGCAGTCTGAGCAGACAGAGGGAGTGAGCCAGGCAGTGGGTGTTCAGCTCCTGTGAGCCCGCCTTCTACCACATGCTCTGGGTGAACCTAAAGAAGTCCTTCACAACCCCAGGGTCTCCCCGGGCACACAAAGCCCAGGCTGCTCCCTTTCCCAGAACTTCCTCTCCACCTGGGAAGTGTACCTCCTTGTTAAGGATTTCCTGATGAGTGAACTGCGCTAAAATGGGCAGGTAGTTTCATGGTTATGCCTGACAGGCCCTGGAGTCAGACTGTTGGATTCAAATCCACCATCTTGCAGTTTTGTTAACCTGGGCAAGTTGCGTATCATCTCTGGTAGTTTCCTTATCTATAAAATGAGCTGTCTTACATACCTACCTCAAAGTAGTCTTTGAAAAATTAGATAATGCTTGTAAATTACTTAACACAATTCTTCACACAGCACTCCTTGGATTTTAGTTGTATTAACTGATCCATGTGATATGGGCTATATAATCACCTGTACTTGAGATATCTGTCTTCAAATTTTCTTCCTTTTCTCTTTCTTGCCTTTTCTTTTTTAAGACAGAGTCTCACTATGTTGCCCAAGCTGGCTGGCCTTGAGCTTCTGGGCCCAAGCATTGCTGGTACCTCAGCTTCCCTAGTATACTACTGTACCTAACTCTGTGTTCAATTTCTGACGGGCCATTGGATTGAAGAAGGAACTGAGTTATAACCAGCAGCCCAGGAAAGCAGATAATATGTCAGGATAGTGAAAAACTTTCTATTAATAAACATGAGATCTGTTCATCAATGACACCAGCAGCCTGGAATAGAACTGAGCACCCTATTCCCACAAAGCTAAGACTTCAATCAAAGACAATAAAAAGGAAGAATATTTCTGTAAGAATAGAACTTTAGACATATCTTCCAAGGTTGCTCTTAGGGCCCTGAGTCTCTTGGTTCCAGGGTGATTGGGGCTTCCTGGGGCCAGTCTGTAGGAAACTTGGTCCAGGAATGACCTCCCCCTCAGAGCGCTACCTGCAGTGGCACAGCTGTTCTTCTGCTTGGAGTTCTGTCGGGACTCTTTCATCCAGGGGAAGATCTGCTTGCTGATGGTGGCTGAGGAGTTGGAAGCATTGGGCCCACCCTTGGCCTTCTTGGCAGGCACTCCACCTCCAGGATTGGTGGGTGAGGATGGGGGCAGGGTGGGTGGTGGAGGAGGGGGTTGTGGTGCCTGCTGCTCTGAGTTCAGACCAGGAGGCTGGCTGCCACCACCCCCACCTTGGCTGTTCCCAGTGCCAGGTCTCATGCAACTGCCATTGAGTTCAGCTCCCTTGTGGGTTGGGGCTCGAAGTGGTGCAGAGCTCTGGATGGAGCAGGCAGAACCTGGGTAATCAGTGTCCAGGGAGTTGGCAGCAGCAGGGGGTGGGTAGGGCTGATGGGGAGTGCCATAGCCATAAGTGTCAGTGGCCTTGCTGTAGCTATAACCTCCGAAGAGTCCTGGGTTTTCATAGTATGCAGCCTTCTGCATTGTGCACTCAGGAAGTTCCAGGGCCTCCTGACCCTGCTCAAATAACATTGACTACCACTGTGTCCTTCACCACTTCCAATGTCTGCTGAATCCCAAGAGAGCTGGGCCAGCCCCGGCCTCCAGGTGACCTGCCAAGAAGAAAAGTGAGAGGTCCCAGAGGGACTGTCATTGGCAAGACCAGTCAGTGTAGAAGGACTAGCCCAGGCTCTCTACTTTGCACCTACTTCATAGTGGGAAGAGATGTCTAAGGCTCTGGATCTGGGATTTTATGAAATTCAATTTATCTGGACCCTTGGAACAGTCAGAAGTAATTTTTCCTAAGTATAAGAAAAGACTTTATCTCCTCTGGGCTTTTTCCTGCCCACGCCCATCAATTTTCTTTCTCCAAAGTTATCAGTTTGGCTTTTGAATCTGCAGGATAGAGTACTTATGGCTTTATACATTTTACTGGCTGATTCCTCCCTAAACTGAGACCTTACTGCAGCCAAAGACTATGCCTTATTTATCTATATATTCCTAACATCCATTAAGTGCCCTGCATGTAATAAATGCTTTTTGGATGAATTAATTAATGGATTAATTTTTGGGTAATCCTAATGTTTTTGTTTGTTTGGTGCTGAAAACAGCTCAAGACTTTATGCTTGCTAAACAGATACTCTTACTACTGAGCTATACCCCTACCCCATAATTCCACTGTTTTAGCTGGCAAAGGAAAGAAGTATAACACACTCAGAACTGCTAGAGCTCCCAAAAAGAAAGTTTATGCCCCACCTTGTTTCAAAATCACAGCATCTTTCATGAAGACTCAGATATCCACTTTTCAATGACAGGATAAGAATCCGCTCAGTTAAGTTCTGTGGGTCAGCACTGTGAAATCTGCAGTGTAGAAAACTAGGAGATAAAAACCAAGGAAAAAACTTAAAGACTCCACACTTATTTTGCTGCTAAAAATGTTTCCTCCTTCCATCTATGTTTCTCTATAGCTTTTGTTTTGTTCCCTTATTCTTTTTAAAGGTATGACACTGGGAATGAGTAGAGAGATTTAAAGTTTGAAATTTATGCAGCATGAGTGAATGGACAATACATTATAAGTTTATCATTTTTGCCCTGGATCTATTATATACATACATATTATTGTTGACCTCTCTGGATCATCTAGTGTACCCCGCCTCCCACCCAACTCAGCCAATGAGAGAATCTCTCTTGACATGATGAATAGACCTAGAATTAGAAGAAGAAGCTCAGAAAAATTCTACCCCTTTTGTATCCTCTGATTCCTGATGGGAGTTCTTCTTGGCCTCCCTTCCCTTTCTTCTTCTGAAAAGCTCCTAAGGGGTTAAAGTATAACTAGTACCATTCAATCACTTTTGTCTGTTTGATAAAGAAAACTCACAGGTCAGCTCCTTGGTCTTAATTCTTGGTCTCCTCTTTCAGGCAACTTTCCTTTCCATAATCTCTCCCTTAGTTTCCACTGTGGACAGTTTATGTGTTGACCACAGGTAAAATCGTTTCTCTATGCACTCAATTTTCTATCAACTTTCACCAAAGAGCCAAACCAATTTATAAAAGTCTTCAAGTTAGCTTTTGTTTGGTAGTATTGCTGCCCGTTTTGTTTTAGAATGTAAATCAATATACCATTTATCTTGATGAGGGATGGGCCTTTAAAGGATATTATAATACTAAGCTACGTTGTAGAAATTGTTTCAACTGATATTCACAAATGTGTACAGTTAGGGTCTCTACTTATTAGTGCTAGACCAATTCTTTCAATTAATTTTCTGTATCATTCTCTGTTAAATTTATGGAGTGTCAAATGGACAACTAAATTCATTTTATGACCAATATTTATGTGTTTGCTCCCAGACTACCACTCTGGGATACTTAAGTTGCAGAGATCTTTTGGGATCCTGCTTCTAGCCCTAAGCCTCTGTATGTCTGAAGGTTCACTACAGAAACCAAAACTTGCTGCTGCTTCTGTCACTGCACTGACAACTGTGGAAGCAAAACATCCCCCTCCTGCCTCCCAAGCTGATCAAGTTTATCTTGATGGGGGACCATTCACATTAAGAGATTTTTTACAAAATGAACATGTTATGGGACAGATGACTTCACACACACACACACACACACACACACACACACACACACAGAGCAGCATTTTCCTAGAGAAAGCTCTTTGCACCCCAAAAGTTGTACACATCCTGAGTAGTGTCCTGAGTAACTAGTCTGTTCTCTAGCCTGTTTGCATTGTCTTAAGGAATTTCCAGGCCTACTGAATGATGATCCACTATCTTACTATCCATTTCTCTACAAGCAAAGGCAGCAACTGCATTGTAGTCAACCAGCAAAGGCTTGGCAGATCCCCCAATACAGTGCCCCTAAGACACCCCCTCTCTTAAAAGCAAAACCTAAGAATATTGTTATGAAACTTTTTAAAAGGGGGCTTCTTTCCAGATCCCTACTCCTTGTGAACTCTGCTTGAACCTAAAAAGCAGAAACGGGTCATAAATCACTTGGACAATGGTCAACTGTTCAGTGGCTCATCTTTTCGATTTCCCCCCCCCCCCCCAGCTTTCTTTTCTGGCTCTTTGGTACCTTTGCTCAATTGGGCTCTGAGACCCAAATGCCTTGGGGTGAAGGCAAGCCCTTAGCGGGGGAGGGGCGGTCGAGGAGAGCTCAGTGCAACCCACCCCCCATCTTCCTTTCCTAGGCTTCCTCCTACTCTCCAACCCCTAGCCCAAGGAATGGGAGCCTGCAGCCACCCCAGTCACCTCCCATGCCACCCCCTGCCCCTCCTGGACAAGGGGCACCAAGTGGGACTGGCTAGTGTCTTCTCCAAGTCCTTGGAAATCCCAGTCAGCTCAGAGACCTAACTGCAGGCCCCGAAGCGGGGGTCCATGCTGTCTCCAGCCAGAAGGAAGGAGTGCCCCAGCCACCACCACCCCTGCTTCCAGGCTTCCCGGTGGTGACGGCCAGCCGCGTCTCTGAGGCAGCGGAGCCCTGATACTTGCTCACCGCACTTAATTCTGCCCAGGATCAATACCTAATATGATACCGAATAAATAAAAGGCGCTCACAGCAGCCAGGGGACGGGGTTATTAAGCAGCTGGAGCTCTCACGGTGCATATCAATGCACCTGTCATTGTGGTTTGTAACAAAATTTATGACTGCGACCACGGCGGCAGTAAACGCTTCAGTAAGGAATGAAAAGAAAAACACTTCCCAAGGCCCGGCACTTTTCAGAAGTGGAGAGCAGGCTCCGCGTAGGAGGCAGCACAGCAAAAGAATTCCCTACTCCGCACTTTTCCCACTCGTGCACCCCTTGAGCAGCGGGATTATATAGAGCCGGCGCTGGCCTCTGCGAGCAGCTCTGCTCCGCAGTGAACGCAGGATGGGACGCGCGCAGCTCGCCGCCGCCGCCAAGGACCGAAGCCCCCGTTGGCCTCCGGACCGCGAACGCCCCGAAGGCTCGAAGGACGCGCAGAGGCCCGCGCTGGGCTCCTCCTCGCCCATGGTGGCCGTAGGAAGGCCGGGGAGGGGAGGGGGATGCTTTCAAAGGGAGGAGGTGACAGTGGTATGGCTGCGTCTAGGCTGCAATTGCAGTAAATCGAGGACGGGTACAGTCAATTGTGCAAGGAGACAGAAAATGGGGAGGCGGTTGAGTGTTGGTTTCATCATTTTCTCTCAAAAATGTCTAAGGTTCCAGTCGGCCTCTGCTCTTCCCGTCCTTTGCCTAAACCAAGGCCGCAGAAGCCCACGGAGGTCTTTGTGGCCGCCAAGAATCTCCATGAGCACCAAGGATTCTCCTCTCGCTGATGGCTTTGCTACTTCAGGTTTTGGAAACTACTGTTTTGGGGGTTCCCTTCTAAGAGGATTGATTTATGTCTCACCCAGGTTTCCCTTGTCTGTCAGCCTGAGCCTCTTTGCCCCTCTGGGAAGCTCTAGATGTGCATTCTAAATCACTCTTATTTAGCCCAGATAACTCAATACTGTAATACACCCTGCATTTAAAGCACTGGGCTCACCCCATTAAAGCACCATAAATTTGAAGGCCGATGATCGGTTATCATGTAACGGGCGGCACTTCACACTGAGGTGATCCACTTCAAAGCTGCCCTTTGTTTTATGTCTTGATGTATGAATCCTGAGATGGTTACCTTGAGCCTCAGGAAAGATGGAAATGTACTGGAGATTATTTTTAAAAACCATCCCCACTCACCACCATTTTGTATGTGTGTTTTCTTGAATTTGGTCTCTAACTCTTTTTGTAGGCTCTTCAGTTTCTTTTGATTATTCTGTGGAGGCGGTTCTGGAACAAAACGGAAAACTCAATAGCAGCCGATTCTTTTCTTACAAACACACACTGAGAAGCCTTATCCCCTTTTAAGGGTGTCATAACCGATGTGACTATTGTATATGGTGCCACAGCCATTCCAGATGCCTTCTCCTCAGCAGAAAGAAGAATAGCTGGCTGGGGGAGGGGGCTTTAACCACCAAAATCCTTGACAGGTTGGGGGACAGCGTGAACCTCAGCAAAGTGCTCGGTCCTCTGGCTAGTGCCTGAGCCAAGAGGCCCAGAGGTACAGGGAAAGCAACCTGCTTACCTCCTACCCCCAACAAGCTCTAAAAGCTCCTGGTCCCAACCCCAGGCTTCAGAATTGAGGTGGGAGAGAGCCTACAGTTTAGGGCAGCCAGAAAAGAGAGGAAGGTGGGAGGATTCTAGAGTCAGGCTAACAGCAGAGCCCAAGTAAAGAGGGTGCTGGAAGCTATTTCCTAGTTTGCACATTATGTCTTTTCCTTGCATTTATTCCAAGTAAGCAGTCACCCTACTTGGCCTGGCCTGGCCACTCCTGGATAGGACTAGGTGGCAAGCTGCCTAAGAAACAAGCATCCTTTCCATCTCCACCGGCAAACACAGACCAAGCTGCCCACCACTGCCGCTGCTCAGCGGGGGATGGCCCCTGGTCAGGTGGAAAGAGAGAGACACAGTCTCCCTCTTGCATCTGCCCTGTGCAATTTGTCGACTCAGTAGTTTGCAAACACTAAACTGCACCCGGCAAAGCCCCACACAAAGCGTTCCGGGCGCTTCTAAAGACAAGAGCGCACAGCCATAAGCCTTTGAAGTGACCTTTGGCTCGCACCGCAATAACTCACCCCTTAATGAACACCCAACGGAAGCGCCTCGGAGAGATCTCAGCCCGGTAGGGCTCCTAACTTCGAACCCCAGCTTCAGCTTCCCAGACGACCCGGGCCCAGGGGGGCTAGCACTGGTCTGTTCCCCATCCCCCAGCCCACTCCCCAACCCTCAGCTGTTCCGCTGGGTTCAGCCCGAAGGGCAGCGCGACAGAAGCCGCAAGGTAGCAGGCCCTTGAGCCTGCGGTTCCGAAGCCGTTTAATATAATACATTCACGTGGGCAGATGTCAACTATCTCTGCTTCATTTTTATTTATTTTTAGAAATCGGTTCTTTAGAAGTAGGAGCACCCCTCAGTGAAAGAGCAAAATTGAAAGGCCACTTAGGTCCTCAATCCCTGACGCCTGTAGCTAAATTTTGTTTCCTGCTGCGGAGGAACAGGGGGTAAGTTTGCCTCTGGGTGTTCTGGGGTTCACGGTGTGCTCAGAGCTCGGGCACAAGAGGCTTGGGAAGGGGAAAAGAAGAAACTCCAAGTTGGCTGAAGTTATACCACCAGAAGAAAACCCTGTACTGTCTCACATGCCCTCCCACGCACACCCACCGCCCAGCACTGGCCCAACTTTGGCCTCTTGCGTGTTCCAGTTCACAGGCTTAACCCAGGTGGCTCTGGTGTGATATTCTTTCTACAGCCAGAAACTGGGGGAGCAAGCTGGAGCCCAGTCTGGGGGCTGTCAACGAAGAGCTGGTTCCAGGCCG